ACCTGCTCTGCTAATATCCCCCCCCCCTCTCTGTCTCTGTGTGGCCTGCGTTTGTTTTAGCCGCTAATGCATGGGTAAGTGTCTCTATGGCAACTGTGACTCTTCCAGAATGCGTGCCATGTACCAGTAGTTGCAGTCGCTGCTGCCTTCACCTTTGAAAGCTCACATTGTTTGAGTTTGGCCGCTTTTACGATACGCTGTGAAGTTTCATTTGTCGCTGTATCTGTAGCCGATGTCTCCGATGTGTTTTGTTCCTCTCATACCTGTTAGTGACACAATAGCTGTTGAGAATGTATGCGGCCCATTGTAGTTTAGATCACGTGGTTGCTTCCGTGTCTTATATCGAGAACATAATGGCTCATTGGCTTTAATAGCAAGCTTTCTTATTGACAGGCACATATCTGACTATGGTATGTAGGTTTCCTTGCAGTCCTCATTGTAGACATTTTCATTTGCATAGACATGGAAATAGTGTTACGTTGCTCTAGCAGCTTGCTTTTTTTCTCTGTTTTGTATTTGTTGCAGGGAGCAGCTGTATGATTCTACAGTGACTCGCCTGTTAAGCAGTTTGAAGATCCTCCTTGAACATTTTTGTAAGTGTCTGTTGTATCTGTGTGTGCTTCAGTATGCTGACCCGGTGGCTGATCTGCTGGACCAGTGGGGTGTGTTTCGGGTGCGACTCTTCCGGGAATCCTGCGTTTTCCACAGAGGGAACTACGTCAAAGACCTTAGTCGGCTCGGGAGAGAGCTCAGGAACGTCATCATCGTGGACAACTCCCCTGCTTCCTACATTTTCCATCCTGAAAATGCTGTGAGTTTTGATTGCTTGTGAAAGTCTAAACCAAATCGTAGTTTGGTTACTCTTGTGTTTATATAGTAGTGTTGGGGATTGAGTTGTGTTTAAAAAAAAAAAAAAAAAAAAACCAAAAATAGAGTTCGAAGAAAAAATTTCCCTTTATGGTGCTCTTGTGTTTATATAGTAGTGTTGGGGATTGAGTTGTGTTTAAAAAAAAAAAAAAAAAAAAAAACCTAAACATGACGTTCAGAGTTACGATTGACTCTTATGAGTCAGATTCTTTTAGCGAATCACAACCATACAGCAGAGCCACTGAAGTCTCCCAAATTATGCTTTTTAGTGAATCAAACAAAGTTTAAGATTAGTGTTTTTTTATTTTAGGCTTGAGTTAAATTGGTTAACATGGTTGAACTGGCTGTTCATATGACAATGTGTAGTTAAAAAAAAAAAAAAGTCATTAATGATAAAAAAACCAAACCAAGTCTTTACCACATTCACAAACCGCATTAATCTGCAGAGACAAATCACTACCAAAACAATGTTTCTTGGTTCCCATCCCTGTTCTTTTTGTTTTATTTGGTACCTACTTCAATTTCAGCAACAATTCACACTGTGTCCTAAACCGGTACAACTACACTCTGGCAACAATTTTTTCTTTTCATCACACTGAAAGTGAAAGTGCTGCACGGTGTGACAAAATACAGCAATATTTAATGTTCAATATACAGTTATGTGAAAGAAGATTGGAGACCAGTGACATTTCAGAACATGAATGAGATTATATAACCTGGTTATTAGACCATGTCAGGTCATAACTGTGTGTGTGTTTGTCTTGCGAAGGTTCCCGTGCAGTCGTGGTTTGATGACATGAATGACATGGAGCTCCTGGACCTGCTGCCTTTCTTTGAGGGACTGAGCAAAGAGGAGGACGTGTACGGGGTGCTGCAGAACCTGAGGGGCAGGTAGCAGTCTGAGCCGCAGTGCTCGGCGGTGAGGGGCCAGTGTGAGTCCTCCGAAGGAGCCGCTCCGCTCCCAGCTCCTCGCTCCTCGCTCCTCCCTCCTCCAGCCTGCAGTCCTCACCTCACCCATACCACCGACGCTCCCAACCAGGACATGCACAGTGACATAAACAGACTTTGAACATTTAATGGACACTCAAATATTTCTCTTTCGAAAAGTGCTTATGATAAACCAAAAAAAAAATCAACTACTACTTTTTCTTTCCCTTTTTTTAAATGAAATATCCAAGTCATAACCATTCTCTGAGGTGTTGCTATGCAGGTAGAAATCCGTATGGTTAAAGGACTGTGGGGTTTCCTCCGACCCAACAAAGTGCCTTTTTTGAATGTAATTTTTACTAGGAAAATTAACATTTTGTACACAACATATTTCCAGAGAACCTAATCTTTACAAGAATATATGCTTTAAAACAGAGGCAGGTCAGACTCTTTTTATAAAAGCACTGTTAAAGAGGCCAGAGATTTTTAATTATGTAAAGCTGGGTACACGTCTCCATCTTTGTTCTTCTTGTGCTCCTTTTATTTTAGATTTAGCTTTAGCTTGTGCCATTATATAGACCGAGACTATTATCTAGACTTGTATGTTTAGTTTGTTTTCTAAGAGGAAAGGAATGCATTTGCACTTGTTAGGTTACTCGTCTCCAATACCACAGCCTCTTTTGCCAACTAACCAAGAAGAAACAGTCTTAAACCGAAGATTGTATCGTGCCAATCGCTAATATTTGTCTCGCAATCTGATGCTGAAGTACGTTTTGTTTTCAGCAAACAGGCCTGACGCTAATATTGGTGCTGGAGACAAATGTTTGGACATTTCAAAAACAGAATTTTAGCCGCTAGTCTTTTTTGAAACTACGTTGATCTGAATGCCTTTGGTGAAGTAGTGTAGACACTGCAGTTGTTCCCCCCAGGTAGTGTTTTTAAGGGGAAGTGTCCTTTATGGAAACCAGGATGCACAATTGCAAATGTATCCCTTTTATCATTTTTAATTCTTTTCTGTTTGAGTCCTGAGTTATTGAGAATTGATACAGGTCCATCTTTATATTTTTAATTAGTTTCAACTTGTTTTACACCATACCCTGCTGCTGCTACCATTGTATACTACACTACAAAAGACCTCCCTGTAGTAGGGTACCAGCCCAGGGACTAGAGCACTGTGCAGCTTGTTCCAGAGCATCGTCCCAACGGGAGTACGGACGCAGTAGGCCCTTAAAGGGTTTGACTCTTGTCCTCTTGCTCTCCTGAAGAGCTAAGCAGAGCCCTTTTCTCCCAGTGAGATTCTGAGGGGGTTTGAAAGTGTTTGGTGCAAGCTGTGCAGAATCTCCATCACCGCAGTGCCTAAGATGAGAGGAGCAGTGGCGGGATGTCCCGATCTGCTGCTGGACTGGCAATAACCTCTCTCTCGTTCTCTCTCTGCCCAGAGTCCACCACGTCACAGTTTGGTCACTACACATTGTCCTTTTTTTGTTTTTCCCCTCAGTCTTTCATCGTCTACCTCTCTCTCTCTTCATCCTGTTCCGCGACGGAGAACGATTCATTCTCACGTTTATGATCTTCTGTCAGTATTTGAGATGTATGCTTATGTTAGCCCACACCTGCTGTTCTGCTTGTTGAAGTGCTGTACAGCCTCTTCAATCGTCGGATCTTTCAGACTGCCTGGATATTTGGCTTGCTATTATTTTTGATTCCTAGCTTTTCTTTCTAATTGTGAAACACAATACTTTTCACATTTGCAAATTTCACCTTTTTTCTCTGAACACGGTAGACTCTGGGTGATCTGACAGCATTGAAACACTATTGGTTTTGCTCACAGTTGATGTTGTTTGCTTCTGTTCTCCATGTGTTTTTCACGTTTAAACTGTCAGGTGCTGTTTTTAATACACAATGTTTTTGTGATGTCACTTAAATATCTCAAGTCTTCTTTTATATTTTTTTCAGTAAGCCATACAAGACACTTTAAAGCAGAGCTGTCCAAACTTGGTCCTGGAGGGCCGGTGTCCTGCAGAGTTTAGCTCCAACTTGCCTCAACACACCTGACTGGAAGTTTCTATGCCTAGTAAGAGCTTGATTAGCTGGTTCAGGTGTTTAATTGGGGTTGGAGCTAAACTCTGCAGGACACTATTGGTTTTGCTCACAGTTGATGTTGTTTGCTTCTGTTCTCCATGTGTTTTTCACGTTTAAACTGTCAGGTGCTGTTTTTAATACACAATGTTTTTGTGATGTCACTTAAATATCTCAAGTCTTCTTTTATATTTTTTTCAGTAAGCCATACAAGACACTTTAAAGCAGAGCTGTCCAAACTTGGTCCTGGAGGGCCGGTGTCCTGCAGAGTTTAGCTCCAACTTGCCTCAACACACCTGACTGGAAGTTTCTATGCCTAGTAAGAGCTTGATTAGCTGGTTCAGGTGTTTAATTGGGGTTGGAGCTAAACTCTGCAGGACACCGGCCCTCCAGGACCGAGTTTGGACAGCCCTGCTTTAAATGGTCCACAGATTGACTCGGGGGTTTGAAATCAGTTCAGTACAGTGTTGATGTTTGGATTATATTTCAAGCTGAATTGATTTCATGGTTGTCGTAAGTTTTCTTCCGGACTCTGACGTGTTATATTAAAGCACCTTTTTAAAAAACACGATGCCTTCTATTTGATTTCTTTTATATTGCAGTGTGCTGAAGTATCCTCAGGTTTTACCATTTCTCCTAAGCAAACGTCAGCTCTTGCAAGGTGTTTTAGCATATCTTAAGTGGTTGAGAGATTTTAGTTTACAGAATCAGCAGGCAAGTAATTGGGTTTTATGGTTATAAAGTTTGTCATGTTAAAACATTCTAATGTCATTTCTTCATTAGAAAATGTGTAAATGCTGGGAACAAAAAAGCTTTACAATTGCAGTACAAAGTCTGAGATTTAATAGAAATGCTTTAATTTCGCATTTGATTTTAATATTTTTAATTACATTTAAAATTAATTTACAAATGATCAGTATAGTGTTTTGAGATCAGTTTAATTTAAATGAATTTTGAATGTCTTAATGTGGTGTTTTCCTTTGATTTAATGGCAGCAGCTCAAGAGCTGCATGAACTCCACAAGTTTGTGTAAATCCTGATCATGTTCTTCAGCATGACTTGAGATGATTCAAAGAACAGACCACCCATACAAAGGAATCGCATGATCAATTTGCCAATTGGTCACCTACAAATAGTGCAGAATCTTAAATATTTCATATGTACTTTATCATAGCATGTTTTAAAAAGTTGGACATAATATGAAGTGATACTCTTTCAAATATGCATCAAATTCTTAAATCAGCTGCTGTTAAATAGGAAGTTGTGTGACGTTAAAGTAATGTGGTGGTTCTTCTGCTTTCATGTGGACTGGATGCCCACACTACTAGAGCTCACTCTTATGGCTTTGTAGATGTGAAACCAAAAAGTGTCTAAACTGCCAAATATGGCAGGACTGATCCTGATGTTTATTACAATTTCTTTATGCCACTTTTATCTGGTCGAAGCAATTACAGAAGAAAAAGAACTTAAACACTACAGTTTTGAATAACATTTATTTCGTCTTTACATAGATGTATACAGTTGGTAATGTTGTATCAGAATCACTGATTTTATGAGTATCAGCCAAAAATATGACAATTTAAGTACCTCATTTAATGACGACATAAATCAGATGTTGTATGTAACTACATAAAAGACAAAGATACAAACTCAAATGCAGGCTTTAAAACATGTATCTAGAGAAACTACCCAGAGGATGGAGTGGTTGTTTATTTGTAATTCCACCAAATTATTCCTCGCTAAATTCTGAATAACTAAAAACAGTGCTCAGTTTAACTAAGACTAAGGTTGACACTCAATATTAAGTCATCTATTTGGCATACTAAAATGTATAAATGTATTTTACAAATTGGAAAAAGTACAAAAAAAGGTTATGTGGGACCATCATATTGCACCTTCAGAAAAGTTGCTCTATTCCCACCATTTCTCATTTACCCATAAGAATCACTCAAGCTGCCTCATTTTTTCCGACCCTTTGAGACGTCTGCGCTGTTGAATATAGCCACATAAGATCATCTCCGATACAGTATAAAACCTGCACCATCATGTGTTATTCAGCATCCACAACCATGATGTGAACGAAAAGCCCAGCGGAGGAAAGGTGGTCTCCTTTCTTAGTGAGCAGTGGCACATGGTGATATCCTGTGGTATAACAAATACACCACTTACAATATGAACACAATACTATGGATTGTTTGCTTATGTGGCTATAGTAATATTTATCATGCATACTTAAGACAGCAACAGCAATTTTAAGTTTTTAATAAAAAAAAAAAAAGTCCCAAACAGAGATGAGCATGTATTACAACACACTAACCGTTCTTTAGGCAGTTGAAGGGAAGTGTGTACTGGCCAATGAATTCGTTGTTCGAACTGGAGTCGTAGTCCTCAATCAAAAAGCGCACAAGGGCTAGATCGGGCACACGCACATTAAACTGGAAGTTCTCATTCCACATGGGATTGAAGCCTTGAGAGACAACAGAGAGCGATTAGGCAACATCTTGATCTTGAGGAGAGTCCTGACAGAGCACATTTAGAGAGTTATTGTACCGTTATTCTCAATGTACTGCGTTTCCGCCACAGTCGTATCAGCTGGCACACCGTAGATCTGCACTTTCACAATGGGATCAACAATAGAGGACTCCCTTTTGCTCACTTTGGGTAACTGCTGGGCTGAGATTACCTATTAGACAAACAGAAACAGCAGCGCACATTTAACATGTAGCATTGTAACTGGAAAAGTCTCATTTAAAAAAAATAAATACATGCAACTGACATAAAGATACAGTCCATGTGCTAAAATAAAGGTGTAGATCCATTACCATCAGATGAAGACTCTTATTCTTTAACCACGGTCCCTTGGAGAGAGTGATGGGGTCAAATTTAGTGTCTTGGTCTCGTAGGAAAGAAGGCTTGAGGTTGTAACCGCTCTGTCCGTTTTGGAGAAAGAGCCCCTGATTCATATCCATCTCTGGGCAGGGTGTCTGGAAGTTGAGGGCCACTGGAGAAAAGGGAGATAAATCGGATCATTCCAATCAGGATCGGAGAAATCGTAAAGCTTTAAAATCAGTTTAGCAGTGAGACATTAACATCAACTTCCACTATGACTAGATTTGAATATACACATGCCTCATTAGTGTCAGTTGTATGGTGGGTATAAAAATTCACATCTTCGTTACCTATCTGACAGCCTGCATTCCACAGAGGCACAGGGTTATAGTTTGAGGAGTCCGTCCTCAGTCCTGCTGGATAAATCCGGCTGAGTTTGTCTGTATTGTGATGGATATAATCGTTTGCTGTGACAGAAAAATACAATTATTAGCTGAGGAATATGTCTGGGTAGTTGACAAATAGACAGGTTTCTGAAAAGGTCAAAATGTGCACAACCGTATACCATATATATACTTGGTATATACACCAAGGCTGCATTTTCTGCAAAATACATAAAAAAAGTAATATTGTGAAATATTATTTCAATCTTAAATATCAGTTTTCTATTTTTATACATTTTAAAGCATCATTACTCCAGTCTTCAGTGTCACAGGATCCTTCCAAAATTTGAATATGCTGATTTGGTGCTTAAGAAACATTTCTTATTATCATCAACAGTGTTAAAAATGCTTTAAAAAAGTGCAGCTTAATATTTTTATGGAAACTTTTGATAAATAGAAAGTTCAAAAGAACAGCTTTTATTTGAAATAGAAATTATTAAGGTCTTTCCTGTCAGTTTTGATCAATTTAAATGAATCTTTGCTGAATAAAACTATTATTATTATTTTTTAATAATCTTAGAGACTTCAAAACATTTGAACAGGAGTGTATATTGTTTTAGATGTTGTAACTGGCAACCACCTTTCAAGTTTCCCAAGTCTTTCACCACTTTTAATCAACATTTTGCCTTCCGTGTAAATGACCATATTTTACTTATTTTACTAAACGACGAAATTTGTATAGATTTGAAGAGATCATTTTTTATATTTTAATAGATAATTTTGTTTATGAATAAAATGTCTCTCTTTTTGCGGTCTAGTAAAGTGATGAATATATGAGAGAAAAATCTGAATGGCTCTTTTCCTTAGTCACCTGCTCGTTTCCATATTCAAAGTTGTGTGTCAAAGGTCTCCCTCAAGCAGAACCATCATCTGTGAGATTATGCACATTTCTGACTATTTCGCAGAGTAATGAATCTGTGCAGCTGAACAGAGTCCAGGGGACCGTTCTTCATACGTCGCTTATTACATCCGAGATGAAATGTCACATCCAAGATGATATCATCTCGCTAATCAGGATCTGGCTAATTCGGTTCTTTGAACGCACCTGTTGTTGATGATTAGTATGGCTGGATTGAGTTATCTGAGATAATTGCGCATTCATGTGTTGGTTTAAAAGGGGCTATGTATCGATACTCGAAACCACGATCAGCAATGCAGTGATTGGCTGGCGGCAAGACAATTATATAATTAAAAAAAGACACCTGACGGAAAAACTTCTGGTTTTCTGGTCAAAAGGTTTCTGGACTTTTATAAGGAAACAGCCAAGCGAACAAAACTACATTAATGTTATAATAGATCAATGAAATGTGCACAGTTTTTATTTTATAAAAATGTTTTACATGATTCCCAATTATTTATATTCACGATTTCTAATATTTTTACAGGCTTTACATTTTTATTTCAATGTAGTACTTAGCAATTCATTTAATTTTATATTTGAACAGATTTGTTACGTGACAGCATTATTTAAAGTTTCTTAAGGGTCAAGATCATGTTATCTGCATCTCCTGCGCTCCATCAAGCCACTCAGCTGTCATCACTCAAATTAATGCACGACTCTACATTATCTGTATAGCATGTGTGTAAGACTCGAACACAATTATGAAGTAATAATTTTATGACAAATAAATCTTTCAGGGAGTAAAACTGGCTGTGTCTATAGTATTAAAGACTACACAACATTATTATATTATCTTTAAATAATTTTTTTAAATGATTATTATTTTAAATTATTGTGCCTGGATTAGTAGGGTACTCTTGTAATAAAGTAGCGGTGGTAGCGGACAGATTTTAAATATCAATTCTGCTTAAAAAGATGCAATCTAATCCTGTTTACATGAAATAAGCCTGCTCCCGAGCAGGTTTAACTTTATGGACCTGTTGCTGACAGCAACAGGATGAGCAGGATGAGCTTCGAAGAACCAAACAATCCAAGATCATGCCAAATCATCAACAATCAAATCCAGCTAACAGAGTTAGCGACGTACGAAGAACGGGCCCCAAGTCTGCATCTCATAACATGTATTTATGCATTTCATAGCCTGTGTTGTGTCGGAGCATGACATCACACCTGCTTCCTCCGCCAGTTTCACAGCTTTTCCCTCTTTGAAGGAGGCCATCTCATAAAAGGACTGCTTGTCCCGGGAATCCTCAAAGCCACGGAAGTGGACACTTTTGCAGTAGATCACGATATCAGACAGCTCCTTCGCCAACTTCAGCAACTTGGTTTTCTGTTTTGGGTATGTGTAATTATAAAATAAAATAAATATAAATAACTTAATTAAAAAGAAATAAAGACTTTTTTTTCCTTCCATGGTCACATACATACGCAAAAAAGAGAGCACAGAAATCAGCTTACACTAGACTTCTTTTCCTGGTCTTCTTCGTCACCTTCATCATCTTCTTCCTCTGTTACACTGTCTTCCTCTGCTGTTTTGGACTCCTCTGAAAACATGTCCTCAAGTTTGTCTAGTCTTTTCCCTTTGACTATGAACCGGCCTTTGAGTTCCTAAATAATACACAACACAGCCATTAAATGTGAGCCTGCTGATTTTGCCATCAGCTCCTATTTACATTTATTCAATTAACAGATGCTTTTACCCAAATTACTCTATCCAATGAAAGTCATGCATGTTATTTTTGTGTTTTGCCTCGTTTTGCTGATTCCGTTTTCTTTTTTTTTTAATGCAATTATTTTACATAGGTAGCAGTTAAATGTGCATTTAACAACTAGTGTCACCAAAAGGAACTTACAGTCGTCTATGAAAAAATCAATTTCTCATATCTCGGCTTAATGGTGCAGAATACTATCAAATTTTAATATTTCTACATAGAGAAAATGCACAAAATCTGAAGAGCATATTTACTGCATATTGCTTTTGACATTTCGTTCTGTGTTTCTAACACAGCAGTTTTAAGAAGCTTTTGCTGTAACTGGAGAGCAGCAGTGTTTCTATTGTTGACTGTGACAGTGTCCAGGACAGGCCACACCTTGAATGAGGGGAATGGAAAACACGGTTATGTAAGCTATGATAATCACCCGCTCCCCAGCAGACAAAGCACTAGTCACCATAGTAATCCAATGCATGGTCTTTAAAAGCAGTTCACCACAAAACCATGATGAACCAACATCATCACGGAACTCTGTATTTGCTATTTCCTCATTTCATAGCTGTGCTGTATGTGAACATAATTGATGTGCTGACGGTGTCAGTCTTGTGTTTTTGAAGAGCTGGCATTTTAATTATTGGGATTGGTTGAAACAAAGAGAGTTTGAGATGCAGCGATGATTTTAAATAGAGAGCAGCTGTATAAATTCCAGACATTCCATACAGAATCCTGAAAGCATCTCCAGTTCAGACAGGCTGAAAAATTACCTTGGGTCTCACGTCTGAAGCCACAGCTACTGGATTAAATCAATCTCTATCTTTAAACATTTTAAGTAAATATTCAATTTGTAATTTAGATTACACAAATAAATGGCACATACTCCGGTGTGCATTTACTCCAAACAGACACCCTTTATTTTGGTTTATTACTCTGCTCACTAGAACCCTTCTAATCGGTCAATCAAGGCATTTTGCAGTCAAATATTTCTGAATTACGACCACTGAACATTGGTACTATATCAGTTATCATCTAATATATTTAGTTTTTATTTTTATTTTATCATTATCAGTATATACAGATGTTGAATTTTGTGTTTTTAAAGAATAACTTTTCAAATAGGTAATTTAATAATTTAATGTTAAATGCAATCATTCACTAGCATTACAATGATTGAGTTTAGTTTAAATTGTACTTTAGACAATAGTATAGAATTTTAATACCTGCCAATTTAAAGGGGTCATATGATGCGATTTCAAGTTTTCCTTTCTCTTTGGCGTGTTAATCATGCTGTGAATGAACTGAGAGATAAAGCACGCAGGGCCTTCTACGCCATCAAACGGCAATGTCCTATAGAGATCCCCATTAGAATTTGGCTGAAAATATTAGAATCAGTAATTGAGCCCATTGCCCTCTATGGCAGTGAGGTGTGGGGTCCACTGACAAATCCCAATCAAGATTTCACCAAATGGGAAAAACATCCGATTAAGACCCTGCATGCAGAACTCTGTAAAAATATATTACACGTGTACCAATTACTGTATTATATTACTTAGATGTACATTTTGCTTCTCTAAATCTGTCTAATCCCTTATTTTATTTTTACTTCTAGTTTATATACATACATTAGTAATTCATTTTGCACTACATGCTTAATATTTTTTATATATTATTATTGTTACTATTCTTTTTCTTTCTGTTAATACAACACATACCAGCTTCATCACTGTGTCTGTCACGCGACTCTGTTCCCCTTTCGGGCTGTCTTTACATTTATTTTGAAAGATGAAGCTCGCGATTATGGTAAGGGGCGTTACATTTCCGAAGAGTGCTTGCGGTGTTCAGCCAATCACAATGCACTGGGTCAGCTGGCCAATCAGAGCAGACTGCGCTTGTCGGAAGGAGGGACTTTGTAGAAAACGAAGCGTTTGAGAGAGGCGGGGCATAGAGGACCTACAATAATGTACAGTATTTGAAAAATAATGTGTTTTTTGAACATTGAAGCATGTCAACATATTCTGTTACACCAAATACACAAAATAATGATATTTAAAAAAGCATTATATGACCCCTTTAATATCTACCAACACTAATATCTGCCCATATTAGTGTGTGCGGATTTTTTTAAATTTTTATCTCTAATAAGATATTGAATCTTCAGTTCCAGGTATTGTTTGGTTGGTTAGTTGGTTGTATTTAAATTTATTGCCAAATCAGCTTCATTGGCTATTACATGGCAGATACAAATGAAACATTCAACAACATAATATCATAAATACAATATTTAAAACAACTCTGCTCAGACAAAAGATAAGATTAAGATACTTTTTCTTGGACCATGAATATGTCCTTGAAAGTTTTCCAGGTATTGTTATCAGCAACAAAATTCTAATTTTGGCTAATTGCATCAGCCAGAATGCTAATATAATTGCATCCCTACTATATATTTTGATCACCGTTCCTGGCAACCAATCTCCAACACTGTGCTAGTTTCATGTCTCTCATATTACTCCATTGTCTCTTTCTTCTTACATGATAAAAATAATTTCAACTTGATAATTCATGTCCATTGAATTTCTTATTTGCAATTGGGTGTGTAATAAGCAGGATAGCATACAATCAGTCAGTCTTTATTACAAAACAAACCCTCTTAGACTCGGTTTCCTGAGCGTCCTGTCAGGTTTATTTTCTATTTTATAATAACCAGATTAATGTACAGTATCCCTTACATAATCTTGCATCTGAATATGCCTGTATAACATGGCCAAGCGGATTACTGCGCCTTAACATCTAGCAATCACTAACCTCTGGGGAAGGAAGGCATGTGGGCATCTGATCTCCGAGGGGTTTGATGACCAGAGTGCTACCCAGGATGGAGATCAAGTGCTGAGCCATGATCTTCTGCTGCTCCACACTGCAGTGGTTCTCCAAAGACAGGATCACAGGATACTCGGTCGTCTGGTAAAAGTCAAAAACACATTGTTGACAAAGTACACCAGTAGGACAAGCTCTACAAGTCCCAAAACAAACAAAATCCATCACTAGATTATCTTGGCGAAAGGGGCATAGAGGACCTACAATAATGTACAGTATTTGAAAAAGAATGTGTTTTTTGAACATTGAAGCATGTCAGCATATTCTGTTACAACAAATACACAAAATAATGATATTTAAAAAAGCATCATATGACCCCTTTAATATCTGCCGATATTAGTGTGTGCGGATTTTTCTTTATTTTTATCTCTAATAAGATATTGAATCTTCAGTTCCAGGTATTGTTTGGTTGGTTAGTTGGTTGTATTTAAATTTATTGCCAAATCAGCTTCATTGGCTATTACATGGCAGATACAAATGAAACATTCAACAACATATCATCATAAATACAATATTTTTAAAAACTCTGCTCAGACAAAAGACAAGATTAAGATACTTTTTCTGGGTCCATGAATAAGTCCTTGAAAGTTTTCCAGGTATTGTTATCAGCAACATAATTCTAATTTTGGCTAATTGCATCAGCCAGAATGCTAATATAATTGCATCCCTACTATATATTTTGATCACCGTTCCAGGCAACCAATCTCCAACACTGTGGTAGTTTCATGTCTCTCATATTACTCCATTGTCTATTTCTTCTTACATGATAAAAATAATTTCAACTTGATAATTCATGTCCATTGAATTTCTTATTTGCAATTGGGTGTGTAATAAGCAGGATAGCATACAATCAGTCAGTCTTTATTACAAAACAAACCCTCTTAGACTCGGTTTCCTGAGCACCCGGTCAGGTTTATTTTCTATTTTATAATAACCAGATTAATGTACAGTATCCCTTACATAATCTTGCATCTGAATATGCCTGTATAACATGGCCAAGCGGATTACTGCGCCTTAACATCTAGCAATCACTAACCTCTGGGGAAGGAAGGCATGTGGGCATCTGATCTCCGAGGGGTTTGGTATTTCTGTGAAGGCAAAGCTGAATTTTCAGCAGCCATTACTCCAGTGTCACATGATCCTTCAGAAAGCATTCATAATATGCTGATTTGATGCTCAAGATAACATTTCTTCTTATTATTAATGTTAAAAACGTAAATGCTTAATATTTTCGTGGAAACCGAGATACTCTTATCAAGACTCTTTGATGAATAGAAAGTTCAAAAGCACAGAGCATATTTTGTAACATTTAAAACATCTTTACTGTCTATTCTGAGGCATTACCATTTTCATCAAGCTCATATTTCTCAATAAGCTGAAGGGCATCATTCTGAGACGCGTCCTCTCTCTGTTCGTTCAACAGGAAGTTCAGCAGGTCAGCGGCGCTCATAAGACCGTCTGTCTTTGCATACTCTCCATAGATGACCTCAATCTCCTCTCTTTGTGTCAGGATTTCATAGAAATGCTCGATCTCCTTGCCCTCTAGGAATCCGCACTTTGACTTGTCACATTTCTGAAAGAGACGAAACTGGTGTTTCTAGTCAAGTTATTTCTTGTGTAGGTAACACTTTATAATACTGTTCCATTTGTTAGGATTAGTTAACATGAATTTAGTAATCTTAGTTAATGTTGATTTCAACATTTACTAACATATTAATAAAATCAAAAGTTGTAACTGTTAATAAGGTTTAAAGGGGTCATATGACGCTATTTTAAAGATCATTATTTTGTGTATTTGGTGTAACAGAATATGCTGACATGCTTTAATGTTCAAAAAACACATTATTTTTCAAATACTGTACATTATTGTAGGTCCTCTATGCCCTGCCTCTCTCAAACACGTCGTTTTCAACAAAGCTCCCACCTTTGATTGGCCAGCTGACCCAGAGCATTGTGATTGGCCGAACACCACAAGCATGCGTCGGAAATGTAACCCCCCTTACCTAGGGGTGTGCGATATATATCGTCTGCGATAATATCATAATTGTTGTTTTAACGATGTGCGATTTGACATTATCGCGTATTTTGCAAAAACCATTCAAAACATCCCTACAGAGCGCACGCATAGATTAAGTGAAGTCTAGACTAGTGCGTGCGCGCATTTAGTGTGTTTTCTTTCACTGCATGATTCAGTCTATTAAAATGCATTTAGAATGATCACAAATTCAAGACATGGCAGAAAATTTATATATTTTTACCACTTCATATAGTTATTCAATTTCACACGAAGAGTGCCGTTTTTCTCCAAAAATTACCATGATTACAAATGTGACATTGAATTCAATAAACAATAAGTTAATTAAGAGACTTACGTTTTAGACACAATATTGTTTGTTTTTGCTCTATTTCGCCAACAAAAATCATTCCGAATACAGCCACAGTGCTGTTTTGTGTCTCTGAGCAACATGACGGTGTTTCGTTCTTGAATGAATCAACCGTTTAAATGATTCGTTTCAATCGCAATGACTCACTTATTAACAGTAATCTGCTGCCACCTGCTGGCGGTTTTAATTTCAAATTTCAGCTTTTTCTTTCTTTTCTTTTCTTTTTTTTTTCTCCTTGTTTTAAATCATCATCAACACTACTGCTGTTCCTGAAACCACGCCTTCTTTCTTTGCGTGCACATTTGGGCGGCATTATGCTAATATTTCCACATAGTGATGTAGATATGTGGGGGCATGTTAGAACGAGCCATTTTAGGAGGGCGTGGCTGACTCTTAACTTTTATAAAGAATATTTCTTTGGATTTGAGACTTTAGTCTTTGCAACTTTACAGATCTTCTTTATGCACCAAGAGCTTGTAACACTCCAAAGAGAAAGGAAAAATTGAAAATCGCATCATATGACCCCTTTTATGGATCTGTGCTAAAATGAACTAACATTGAAGATTTTTATTTTTATTAACTTAAAGTTTAATAAATACTGTATAAAATGTATTGCTCATTGTTAGTTAATGCATGAATGAGATGTACCTGTAGCACTGAGAGAACAACATTATAGATGGGTAAACTAGGTTAGATTCCTGCATAATTACAGAAATATTACCTGAAAGAGCATTTCAGCATAGTCTTCATCCACCTCAATGTTGATGTCTCGTAGAAAGCTCTTCAGCTCTTTCTGACTGATCTTGTCATCAAAGTTTTTATCTGCTTTGCGCATACAGCTGTAGATCCAGCTAGAACTCTGATGTAAGGACAATTAGCAAGAGATTTGAAAGAATAATGCTCGAAATGCACCTCAAAATCACAGGCGTTTGAAAAGGATACTGCTCTGTTTTCTTCTGCGGAGTGAGGTTCTTTATATTTGAGATGACTTTCTCCAAACCACCAACCCACTTCTTGGCTTCTTGCTCAGAGCTGGCGATCAGGTCCAGGCCCTTCTGTTGGCTCTTAAACAAGATGGAGAACGCTCGACCCTCCACAGACTCCTCTGTGTATTTCCTCAAACCGTCCGTCTGCCGACCTGTTCGTACCTCCTCAATGTCCTCAACAGAGACTGAGTGAGAGAAAGAAACATGATCACAACTGTACTTTATAAAATGAAATGAAATGAATACAGAAAATATATAATGGAGTAATGTGTAACAATGTGGGTCCCACTGATCCTGATCATATATTTTGGATGTTTTAAATACTTTTTTTTTTTTTTTGTGATTCACTGATGTCAATTTTTTAAACTGCAAAAATGTTGTTAATCAGGATCTCAATTTTATTTTCTGATAAAGAAAATATGTATGTTTAAAGTGATTTATGCTTAAACAAGTAAAAATAAACTGCAAGACAAGACATTTCCTCAAAGCAAGTTTTCCCCCCCTAGTTTCTAGTAGGGCTTGCTGTTAAACGCTGGATCACAGTAATATGCATATGGAAATTCTATGTAGAAGAGGTCATGCATAATAAAATAGCACTGTAAGCTTGATTTTAGACATTTGCATAAAAATATACATAAATTTTAAACATGGCCCCAGGCTTATGTTTTACAGCACCAGTCACAAAATGACAATATAACTTTAATGTGCTGTAGTAAAACACACAACTTGTACACAAATACATAATTTGGTGAAACATTTGTTTCATCAATAGCCCTTTTAGTTAGTTACACTTATAAATGATATACAAATCTTTTTGGCAGTGCTTTAAAGCATTTAACAAAGGCACCGTTCAGAAATTTGGGATCAGTAAGATTTTATGTTTTTGAAAGTCTCTTATGCTCACCAAGGCTGCAATAATTTGATTAAAAATATGATATATGAACAGTAATATGAAATTTTATGACAATTTCAAATAACGTTTCTTTTTTTGATATATTTTAAAATGTAATTTGTTCCTGCAAACTGTCAGCAGTCATTACTCCAGTCTTCAGTGCCACATGATCCTTCAGAAATCATTTTAATATGCTGATTTGACGCTCTAAAAACATTTATTATTATCACTATCAATGCTGAACACAACTGTGTTACTAAATGTGACCCTGGACCACAAAACCAGTCTTAAGTGTCAATTTTTCAAAATTGAGATTTATACATCATACATTATTCATACTGAAAGCTGAATAAATAAGCATTCCATTGATGTATGGTTTGTTAGGATAGGTTTTGTGGTCCAGGGTCACAAATATGTTTTGTGGATACTGTAATACATTTTAGGACTCTTTGATTAATAGAAGACCAAAATGAAAACATTTATCTGAAACAGAAATCTTTACTACCATTTTTGATAATTTTAATGCATCCTTGCCGAATAAAAGTATTAATTCCATTCTTGTCTCAGAAAGATTTGCCAATAGTTCAACAAATCACAAGTAATGTCTTTAAAGTACTGCAAATATAGGCCTATCAAGATTTTTGAACCACACTCAGTGAACATCGGCTTCAGTTCAATTGATTTTGTTGGCGCAAAACTGATAATAGTATCCAACATGGTTAAAATGATTTTACTATTGAAAAAAGAAAGAGAATTTTACTGTCACAGACTTTAATGCTATACTGCCTGTAATAACATATGACACAACTTCATTTAGTCTTTATGCATTCATTTTACCCTTAAAAATGTGGATTTGCTATTAATCCAATATAGGAAGGAAGTGCTATAGTAACTTCTCTGAGAGACACTTTTTACCATTCATTCAAACAAACAAAACACATTGTGGGTCAGTCCAGGACACGAGCACACATGCAAAGAAAGGGCTGACTCCGACACACCCCTGTGCACATCCCTTTTGGGACTCACATGTCTGTTTGGACTTCAGGGTCTTTTTAGATTCATGCCACAATGTCTTGCAGTCCTCCTGGAGTTTGTAGTAGCGTGTCTTTTTCCATGACCCCGAACGGACTTTCAAAAGATCTCCACCATTCATCAGGAACTGCAGGTCCTTGTCACCCTCCAAACCTGTGGGGAGGACAAGAGCAAGACCGCTCACATAGCCATTCTTTCAAAGCTCATTCTAAAAGACAGATTTGTGGGGTTTTTCCCCACATCACAACATCCTTTTTATGAAGGCAGAACAAACAAAAGGATTGTATTGTCCCTCTGTGGTCCAATTGAGGAAGGAACCCAACCATTTATGAGTCCAGCTGCTGAGGAAGAAAACGCGGCTTAAACTTTTATGTAAAACACAAAAGACTCTGCCTAAAAGACTTGAACACATACTGCAGACACCTGACACCAACCAGGACCAGCTTTTAGGTCACAAATGAATTATTTACAAAGGCGTGGTGTGTATTAATGAGTACTTTAAACACAACCATGAATCAATAGGTGTGATGTGTTCTTGCTCTATTTACTATAATAGCTCCCTACTTACACTGTATTCTAGATAGGCAAGTTACAAAAGGGAAAAATAATTTCCTCGTTGCTAGATATCCTTCGAGATGGTGTGTGTCAATGAACTGCATACATAATATGACCAACTGAATGCCAGTGTAAAGGCAAGTATGAAAGGTCAGGTTCTCAGATTACACATAAGATTATTGTTATATTTATTGTCCTACCTAGACGTTTCAAGTTGTTGCTCACTGTTGTTTTGATCTGCGCGCGGTATAAGGACTCTTGAGACTTGGTCCGCACTGGCTGTCTTCGTACACACTGCATATTGTGAATATTCCGCAACAGAAATCAAAACTGCTTCTGAATAAGCGAGCCGCAAACATATCCCAATGACCTGCTGCGTCTTAACGTTACTCACTTGTCCGCGGACTCGGGGCGTGTACTAATTCAAAGTTCATCCCTAGAAAACACTAGTGATACGTGATCTCATCGAGTGGCTATATTTGTTAGTGAATTCAAACAACACGTCAATAACGTTGATTTAAATAAATATTTAATAAGTATACTTATTAAAATTATACTTGAGACGACAAGAACGAATACTACACGCGTGACAGCTGCTGAAATACCTGTTGGGCTTCGGCGTGTCTTTCTGTGCAGAGGCAATGGCGCCATCTAGTGGCTGCATTTGCCAATCCAAAACACAGCAGCCACACTCCAGACCTCATCCCATAATCTCCGGTGGATTTATGTTAAAGGGATAGTTCACCTAAAAATAAAAATTCTGTCATCATTTACTCACCCTCAAGTAGTTTCAAACCTGTATGAATGTCTTTGTTCTGCAGAACACAAAGGAAGATATTCTGAAGAAAGTGGGAAACGGAGCAGTTCTGGGGCACTATTGACCTCCATAGAATTTTTTTCTCCTACTATGGAAGTCAATGGTGCCCCAAAACAGCCTGGTTACAAACTTTCTTCAAAATATCTCCCTTTCTGTTCGGCAGAACAAAGAAATGTATACGGGTTTGGAACTACTTGAAGGTGAGTAAATGATGACAGAATTGTCATTTTTGGGTGAACTATCCCTTTAACCCTAGATATGCTGTTCTATGACCGTTTCAGAATTATACAGGGTTAATGTGGTTAATGCTTCACTGGTGGCATTTGGCATAGTCTATTAAACCAAGTGAGAACTCAAATATTCCACTCAAATATTATTTTACATACATGTTAATATAAGGTAGACATACTCTGTGAAGAGCATTTTATTCAGAGTGGTGTTTTTGTACTGCAATGTCAATATAAAAATTTCTATTTTTTGAGGTGTTGTTTAAATGTATAGGGCCAGGCCAATGATATTTTTGTTAAAACTAAAACCCATTAAAAATAGTTTATCAATTGAAAATAAACAAATAAATAAAATTAAATATAAAATGAGAATAACTTGAAACATTGGCATCTAAATGTAATCTGAAGTGTAATCTTGGCTTCTAACTTGGCATCTTCAAGTTTAAATTAAAATAAAACCTAAACTAAAATTCACAAGAAAACTGAAAATATAAAAAATAAAAGCCGTTTCAAAATATGAATAAATATTACAAAAGTATATAAATAATGCTAAAATAAAACAGATAAAGGGCATGTTAATTCAAGTGGCTTTGATGTTTAATTTATACACATTTTTAACTTCATTCTGCATTTCTATGCCTAGCTTTCTTTTATGCATATAAAGTTCTGGCCTAACTGTCTTTTGTCGACATTGCATTATGTTTGTTTCAGATTCATAAAAAGTGGCTTTGATGTTTAATTTATACACATTTTTAACTTCATTCTGCATTTCTGTGCCTAGCTTTCACTGTAAACTTTTGAAGTTGCACAACAGCACTTTTATGCATATAAAGTTCTGGCCTAACTGTCTTTTGTCGACATTGCATTATGTTTGTTTCAGATTCATAAAGGTATGTATGTACAGAATGATAGCTTTCTGTTAAAGAAAGCAAACACTTGCAGTGGGGTTCTATGAAATTATTATTATTTTTTTTTAATATTAAGACAATTTGTAGTGGGTCTATCTGTCCCCACAAACCCTTGGGCTGCTTCCTGCTGCCATTTCAGTGGACAGTTAGATCCTATTCATATCCGTCTGGATGAGAGAGATACTGGAGATTCAGGAGGTGTGTACACAACAAGCACGCAGTCATTTAGATGTCTTTTTAGAACCCAAACGTAGGTCACGTTTACTGTTGCATCTTATCACCTTCTGGGGGAAAAACCCCCTGCATAAACTCAATATTAAAAAAAAAAAGAAAAAAAAAGAGGTTTCTCTTTTTAAGAATATTTGTGTAACCTTATTTCTAAAACTGTGATCTGTTGAAAAACACCGTAAAATGAGTTAAGCCTTGGTTTAAAGAAGCGAGTAAACCCATCATTTGACAGACGTTTCAGGCAGAGGAACTAAAGTAATGAAAGGGATGTTATGTGAGACAGTCGACGGAATGTTGCTCCAGGCTACTGACACCTCTCCTGTGCCCCATCCTAGTCTAGTAGGTTATTATATTGCTGCAAAATTGGAGCACTGTAAGAGATGAACAACACCCAACAAATGACAATACAAAGTTGCTAAGGGTGTGGCAGCCATATTATGTCCTCCAACTCAATTTATACTATACACCACCCATTCATGCGTTCATCATACGACATCCACAGAAATAGCTGGCTGAAGACAAAGAATGTGTGATTTTCAAACTTAGTGCACAAGTTAAATCCAATATATAATATATGACATAAAAATAAACTTGGTTTATCTTCGGTTGCCCTCTCCATTGTTTGCAACATCGACATTTAAATGAAATATTTCATAAACCAGTGCGAGGATTCATGCTGGGTAATGGTTAAGATTCAGTTGCGCGTGGCTGAAACTCAAGAGCGCGTGCAGCTTTAGTGAACAGGTCTGAACGTTCACTGCTCTCAAACGGAGCTTTCAAAAGTTCGTCGAGTGACTTTTGTGACACGCGCAAGCATTTCGGAATCATTTTAATACAGTTGCAGTTCATTTTAATGAAGTGTTTTCATTCAACACTTACATTGTTTCTCAGCAATGCCGTTGGAATCCATTTCTCGTAAATGCAGCAGACTGTTATATCCTTCTCGTGCACAATATGTCCAATATTCTCGACTCGAGTAGTTCACACGCAAAAAGAAACAACATAAAACTTCGCAGTCCCGCTGACGCAAAACAGACGAAACTGAGAGCTGCTCTATTCCTCCAACCTTCTCGGCACAGGTAGAGATTACCTGCCTGTGGCTGCTATCGTCTCAGTAAAAGGTATCTCATGATGAGCCACGCCCACTGATCGCTTCAGCATCTTATAACGGCATGCTGTGCTTTCAGTTGCCTATAGGGGTCATGATAAATTATGCTCAAATACTAAAGCAAATCCAGATTGAGTTTGAATGTTTGGTTTGTTTTATTCTGGAGAAGCAGTTCTCAAAATTCCACTACGTGCTGCACCTGTAATTAGAGCTGTAGACACCGGTCAATGTCAGCTGAAAGAAAACTATGCTCTATTAGTGTATTGAATCTGCCAGGCAGCACTAATAACTCTGGAAAGCAGTGAACTGGTCATATGGGTAACTATTGTTTAACTTTTTCTTTCTTTTCCTGAGTTATATAACAAAGAAATGCATAGGCAGTTGTTTAAAGTGATACAAAGAGAAAGGGTGCATTACTGTGTGGGGTTACTTTCGATTTGATATATAGAATTTTTAAGGCTATGCACCTTACTGGAAAGCAGTGAACTGGTCATATGGGTAACTATTGTTTAACTTTTTCTTTCTTTTCCTGAGTCATATAACAGATGCATAGGCAGTTGTTTAAAGTGATACAAAGAGAAAGGGTGCATTACTGTGTGGGGTTACTTTCGATTTGATATATAGAATTTTTAAGGCTATGCACCTTAAAGGGATAGTTCAACCAACAATGAAAATGAACCCAAGATTTACTCACCCTCAAGCCATTCTAGGTGTATATGACTTTCTTCTCTCAGACAAATACAATTGGAGTAGTTATATTAAGAAAATGTTGAGATTTTGAATTTCAATTAAGTGCATCCATTCATCATAAAAAGTACTCCACACGGGGTTTAATAAATAACATATATTATGCCAACATCCTACTTCATCCGCTGGAACGCCACTCTCTCAGGTACGTGCGTAAAACAGTTAACGGAAGCCGGAGATTACAGTTTATGAAGTTTTAAATATGGATCTTTTTCTTACACAATCGCATCAATTTGCTTCAGAAGACCTTTATTAATATAACTGCGATTGTATTCGTCTGAAAGAAGAAAGTCATATACACCTAGGATGGCTTGAGGGTGAGTAAATCAAGGTGTAATTTTCATTTTTGGGTGAACTATCCCTCTAAAAACTTTTTCATTGCATGACAATAATGATAATGAACATGCAAAACAGTGTGTTATATATATATATATATATATATATATATAAACTACAAAATATCTTACATAATGGAAGATAAGGTCAAGATGTTAGTAATGAGATTTATGAATGCAATTATCTGTTGTTTTTTTGTTTTTGTTTTGTTTTTTAGTTTTTGCTGCTACCATCTGCTATTACAGAAAAAAAACACTCAAACAGTTGAATTTCTCAAACAGTGAATCTCTTCACTTCAAACAGGCTTATGAAAACTAGAACACATATTCATGTGTTCTTGGGCCGCTTCCTAATTGTGTTGGTTATCATTTCACATGATTGTGGTCCTCTGTGGTTTGAGGTATTTCTGTGAATGAATACTGTGGCTGAAGAGGTTTAGATGTTGCTTTTGTTGAGGAATTCCTTTGCAGATTGATAGCGATCAAGGAAATCAAGGAGATCTGCTGTGTGACAGCCTACATTCCTCAAGATGTTTTTTTTGCTTTCTCAACAAGCCGCCACTGTAAAGCCTTGGTCTTGACTCATTTGTGAGCAGCCGACAGGCAATGCAATATGATAAATATGTTTTTATAGTCATTTTTAAGCTTTTTAAAAGGCAACTTATCAGTTGATCACTGCTAGATAAGCCAGACTCCACCAAAAGAGACCAACCAGTCAGAAGAAAATAGACAAGTGCCTACAAATGTTTTTCATTGGTCTTCAGTTTCACAAATGTCAGTGTCATATGAACTGATTTGTAATCACAATTAAGATTTAAGCTTAGAAGTAAAGATTTTTTCATCAGGCTGTGGTAGTTTCTGTGTATTTTATGATTTAGGCTACAGCAGGGAACACAAATGTAGAGTATCAAAACATCAAATCTGCTCCATAAAATCACCATGCTTGCTTATAGATCGTATGCGACAGAGTAACAAGCGCGCTGCCATCTTTGAACTTCCGTTTTTGCAGTAGCTCTATAGCATCGCTGTTGAAGGGTGTTGAGCTGGTGAAGTGGATTTACATACTGTAGAACTGACAAAAGTTATCATGATCATTGTAATGTTCAAGGTGGATGTCATAATAAATGTCAGTAGACCGGGAAGTTTTTAAAACGAACGGTTCATTCACAAATTTGTATGACCTTACATTCACGCTTTGGAAACACAAAGGTAATACATAAGACAACAAGCGCAGTGCTGAAAAGGGGCGGAGCCACATAAGTTCTATAAATTCAGCTGAAAGTACTATACGCCTTCATAAGGAACTTTTTAAGATGAATGTCATCTGACTTCAAGCCTTTTGTGCTATTTCCTCAGGAACTGAACAGCGTATTATACTGTGTCGACTTCTAGTGAAGTAATTCTCAAGCACAAATATGTGTAGCCCAGAGGGTTAGGCAAATTTCAGGATGTGATTTAGACAATTACAAATTACAACCTTAAAATATCAGGACTGTCAATTCAGTTTTCAGTCATGTGACTGGCTTGAAGACCTAGCGGGCAAAACATCCATAGAACTGCAGCACAAGCAATTTTCTATCTGTTCCAATCCAAAAATATTTAGATCACCTCTCAAAAGAATAAAACAAAGATATGTGAACAAAACACAAGTTTTGGCCATTAGCAATCCATATAAAGCACCCGCCACATTATTTCAATCACTAAAAACAGCGGTACATTCTAAAACATTTAATGTGAAAACACTTAAAGTGCCTTTAAAACAGTGATATTAAAAGATCAAATTCAGTACACAACTTACTGATGATGCGTGCTTTATGCAGGCAAGCAAATGAGCCCGGAATATGAATGCAATGCGCTAAATGGTTAAGCGTCTTCTTTAGAATGGTTTTCTATGGGAAAACATTTAATATTAAACATTGCGCATTGCGTTTATATTCTGGTTTCATCTGCTTGCCTGTACAAAGTATGCATCATCAATAAGGTTTATAATGAATTTGGCCTTTAAATATACATTGCTACTAAATGCAATCCTCCTAAAAATAAATGCCAGTCAGTACAGGAAAGCTTTGTTTTGCCCTCCATGTGGGCGTTCCTGTAAGGGTGTGACGTCACGTGAAAACTATGAATAATATATAATTGTGCTTAAAGGGATCATATGATGCAATTTCAATTTTTCCTTTCTCTTTGGAGTGTTACAAGCTCTTGGTGCATAAAGAAGATCTGTAAAGTTGCAAAGACTAAAGTCTCAAATCCAAAGAGATATTCTTTATAAAAGTTAAGACTTGTCCGCGCCCTCCTAAAACGGCTCGTTCTAACACGCCCCCACATGTCTACATCACGATGTGGGAAGATTTGCATAACGCTGCCCAAATGTTCACGCAAAGAAAGAATGCGTAACTTTTATTCTCGCTGCAGTATTGTTGTTGCCGCCGCCATGTTGTGGAGATGCTGTGTGTTTTGTTGTGAAAGCGAAACTACTTTGGTTGGTCTTCCAAAAGAGGCTGATATCCATGCCTAGAGCTGATCCATGCTGGTCGCTGAGGAAATACATCAACTTCGCGCTGTGGATCGCCGGATCGGCTTTCACCGTGGACGAAGCAGAGTCCAGCCCGGGGTCGTCACAGGTGGTTGCCGCAAGACCGCTGGACGCTCCTTCGTCGAATCCGCCGGCCGCGCCGTTCCTCACTCAAGCCCGCCGTGTGTGACGCATTTTATGAAGGACTGTTTCCTGAACCTGCAGAATAGCCTACAATGGGTCTGTGCTCAAAGGCTGTTCTATAAAGTGGGGCAGTTCCAACTTTGCAAGGACAGTCTGGCGCTTCTGACTCACAGCCTGTAAGTAATTTTTTTATATTTAAAGAATTTGCCACTGATGATTCAAATGCGAGTTTGAGCAGTGTAGAGTAGCGCTTGTTGTGTGTCGTTTCTCCGATCACAAATGCAGACATGCTTTTATGCTTACGCGGCACGATACGCAACGCAACGTGTAAAAACACAGTATAAGTCATTATAATCAGTAATGATGTCCCCACTGGATGCAACAAATGCCTCGTTTGTAATGGGTTTTATTGGTTTTGTCTTGTCGTGCCGGGAGACACAGCATCACAATATGTTAAGGGGCGTAACATTTCTGTCACACGCTTGAGGTATTCAGCCAATCACAATGCACTGGATAGCTGGCCAATCAGAGCACACCTCGCTTTTCAGAACGATGAGCTTTGTAAAAATTTACGCGTTTCAGAAAGACGGGGCATAGAGGAGAAACAATAATGTACATTATGTGGGAAATAATGTGTTTTTTAACCTTAAACCGCATAAACACATTGCATTACACCAAATACACAACATAATGGGCTTTTTTTGAGTCCCTTTTAGGTTTAGGAAAGAATATGATATGTGTAATTTCAGTGTGAAAATCAGTTATTTCAAAATAACAGTGTGTGTGAATGACACCGATAGTGGAATTCATGTGCACATAGTCTCCTTCAATAAAGTATAAAGCTTACAGCAGTGTGTGTGGTTTATTACTGTGGACCCTACTGGATTCAAAAGGAGGCCTGAAAAAGTAGAAAATTATTTAGTGTTGCTCATTTCCAGGAAGGGCAGCAAGACAAGTCACTGTGACTTAGCAGTTACTTCCCAGTTATCATGTGATCCTTGAGAATACATTCTTAAGAGAAAATGCTGTATGTATGCAAGTTTTCTTTCAGCTCATTTTTAAAGCATGCAGCTTTTGAAAAACGACCTGTTGCCTGTATGTCACTGGTGATTGGTCATTATTATATCCTGTTGTCGACATGCCATACATATCAAACAGAGTACAGTAAATGCCTTTGTAGGCAGAGCTGAGATCTGAGATATCAAAGATAAAATACATGCCTGGACAAATATTTTACAGAAGAATGTCTGTAGAAATGTCAGTGTTAACTCAAG